CACTCACACACTCACACACTCACTCACTCACTCACTCAGTCACTCGCTCACTCACTCACTCACTCACTCACTCACTCACTCGCTCACACAAACACCTCTCTCTTTGTCAGGTGTTATGACCTTGTTCTTGTATATTCCCAGATGCTATATCATAATAAACACCTGAGTATGAATAAATATTGAGTAAATACAGATGTTAACTGATTACAGGTGTTAGCAGGTGTTGAGTGAAGGTAGGGTATGGAGTAATTACAGGTGTGTACAGGTGTTTAATGAGGACAAGTTTTTACAGGTGTTAAGTGAGGTCAGGACTGCATTAATTACAGGTGTTTACAGATGTTAAGAGCAGGTGTTAACAGGTGTCATCACAGGTCTGGGGGCGGCGGCGGGGGACTGGGTGGCGGACATGGGGGCAGTGGCAGCAGTGCGGGCGGCGTGGGGTGTACGGGCGGCCTAGCGTCATCACTAGCGGGCGTGGCGGGGCTGGGTTTGGGTGCCAAACACGCCCGCCTAGGCTACACCATCCTACCCACCTCTGCCCCACGTGAGTCACTATCATCCTGCACTATCATTCAACTTCATCATCCTACACCATCATCTTACAGTACACCATCATCCTACACCATCATCCTTCACCATCATCATCCTTCACCATCATCCTACACCATCATCATCCTTCACCATCATCTAATAAACACCTCAGGAGTCATCATCCTATCATCTATTGACTAGTATTGTCGAGAGAGAGAGAGAGAGAGAGAGAGAGAGAGAGAGAGAGAGAGCCCTCCCTCCTCCTACCACCACCAGGTTACGAAGGGCGTGAGCGACTCGACCTAGCGTACCGGGAGAATCGTGGCGCGTACCGGGACAACCTAGCGTACCGGGAGAATGGCTACGTGCCCAATGGTCGACCTGAGATGACCCCATTGACTGAACTACCCTCTACTGACTCCCTTACTGACACCAGTCATGACATACACACCTGGTTGGAAGACTCGTCACGCTACACCCACCGTTAATTAAGAGGCTCTGTTACCTGTGTCTATAGGCTGTGTTACCTGTCTATAGGCTCTGTTTGCCTGTCTATAGGCTCTGTTTGCCTGTCTATAGGCTCTTTTTACCTGTCTATAGGCTCTGTTCCCTGTCTATAGGCTCTGTTACCTGTTTATAGGCTCTGTTACCTGTCTATAGGCTCTGTTACCTCTCTAGGCTCTTTTTACCTGTCTATAGGCTCTGTTACCTGTCTATAGGCTTTGTTACCTGTGTCTATAGGCTCTGTTACCTGTTTATGGGCTCTGTTACCTGTCTATAGGCTCTTTTTACCTGTCTATAGGCTCTGTTACCTGTCTATAGGCTCTGTTACCTGTCTATAGGCTCTTTTTACCTGTATAGGCTCTGTCACCTCTCTTTAGGCTCTGTTTACCTGTCTATAGGCTCTTTTTACCTGTCTATAGGCTCTGTTACCTGTCTATAGGCTCTGTTCTGCAATCTATAAACTCTGTTTACCTGTCTATAGGCTCTTTTTACCTGTCTATAGGCTCTGTTACCTGTCTATAGGCTCTGTTACCTGTCTATAGGCTCTGTTACCTGTCTATAGGCTCTGTTACCTGTCTATAGGCTCTGTTACCTGTCTATATACCTATTTAATGTATAGTGAATCCTCCATATAACGGACTTCGATATAATGGACTAACCTTTCACATATAGTCCGTTAGAAAGAGTTTTCACTATATACATGACGTTAATGCATATATACCTGACTTAATTTTATTCATAGCTGACTATTCTGTGTCTGTACATGACTAAGATTATGTGAACGTATTTACTGTATCTATATATAGCCAGGTGTAAACAGGTGTGTTAGTCAGGTATAAACAGGTGTTACAGTCAGGTGTAAACAGGTGCGTTAAGAGTCAGGTATAAACAGGTGTTACAGTCAGGTATAAACAGGTGTTACAGTCAGATATAAACAGGTGTTACAGTCTGGTATAACAGGTGATAGTCAGGTATTAACAGGTGTTAGTAAGGTATAATAATTGATAGTCAGGTATAAACAGGTGTTATGTACAATTAAGACATCATCAAGTCCACATTACCTGCGATAGTCACTAATTAATTACTCTCGTCCTACAGGTATATATACAAAAGCCATATGTCCAGTACCACATATATACAGTCCATATATGTACTATTTATTTATACATATATAATAATGATAAATGCTTCCAATATTGTTCCTGTGTTGTGTTGTTATCCTATAAGGTAATATTAACTCTACTGAAAAGATTAATAAAGAAAACGGAGAATGACACAGCAGTAACTAAAGTAAATGAAGATGTGAGTAAAAAAAAAACGTAATTAACATGTAAGAAAAGACGTGATTGTTATATAATTCTTTAGGAAGATGAATGAATAAAGGTATAAATATTGAAAATAATTATAAAACGGAACATTTACTAAAGATATATACAGGTATATATCCATATTAGTTTTATTAAAGAAAAAAAAATTTAATTAACTGTAATAAGAAAAAAACAGAATTTTATATTAATAATAATGATATCAATGTCCCAGCCCTCAGCCCTTTAGGGTACGAGTCTGCAGTATTCATTGTTAGGCAACTTGCAGCACTATAGGTAGGCAGCCTGCAGTGCCATGGGTAAGAGGCCTGCAACATCATATGTAGGCAGCACCATAGGTCAGTAACCTGCAGTACTATATGTTGTCAGCCTGAAGCACCATAGGTAAGCTGCCTGCAACCACATAGACAGCCTGCAGCACCATAGGTAGGCAGCCTGCAGCATCATAGGTAAAAAGCCTGCAGCACCGTAAGTAAGAGGCCTGTAGCACCATAGGTAGGCAGCCTGCAGGAGGTTGCAGCAGCAGGTCGCCGGGGCGTTGGTCGTGGTGCCAGCGCACGCGTCTTGCCACGAGTTTCCTGGAACCAACTGGAACGTACGTCGCTGCCTGGACACACCCAGCTGGTGGAGATGCACGCGGTGAGGGTGTGAAGACCCCTCACCCTCCCTCACCCTCCCTGAGCACCGTGACACAGGAGGAGGGGGGTGACAAGAGAACCACCACGCTCACACACACTTTTACCATCAGTCGTGGACATTATTCTCTGACTTTATCTCATATTGATCACCTCTAGAGCTCGTGGTTTCCTCCTCCTCCACTTTGACTACACCTTTGCTACCTTCAGCCTCCAGCGAGCAGATGACTGACAGGTCTCAACACTCACCTCCTCCTCCACACACCCACACTCCTCCTCTCTGTACATCTCTCGTCCACGATGCTTGGGTGGTATTGCTAATAATATTATGTCTTTTGCACAGGTTTCACGTTTAGTTTATCTACCTTTTTAGGGGCCGTTTTAAAGGTAGATGTTATGATTTTGTTTTGAGGGGGAAGGTTGGGGAGCTATTACTTGTTTAACTGTATTTTTCTTCTGGTTTGGTTTAATGAGGGTGTTAGAGGGGAGTTATGAGTTGTTGACAGTGTTGTGATGGAGGAGCGGTGATCACAGGGACACGAGAGTAGTGTTGTGATGCGTATCATAGTGCGGTACGACGTGTGGGAGGTGGCGGCGGCAGCACCAGCCACGGCCCCCTCACCGTCACCAACACTGCGGCTCCAGACTATTTTTGACGGCGAGTTGTGTGTTGTTGTCCCTCGTGCTTTGTACGTTTTTACTCTCCATAACACGGCTGCCCCCAGTGTCTTCAACCCGAGGTGTTAACGTGTTCGTGGATCTAACTCAGTGAGGACCGAGGTGTGCCACAGTCAGGTGATCTAGTTGGTACATCATTAACCAGAAGGAAGTGCTACAGGCGAGCTAACTTGTCACCAGGGATCAAAGTGTACAGACCTGTTGCTGTATTCGACCCTTTATGTCTGTGAGCTGACCCAGAGGTGGTGTTCCTCGGCCCCGCCTCGCTCGGGCTCTTCACCGACGCCCTGCTCAAGTAACTGGCGGAGTTGGACAGCGCCACACCTGCCGGCGCCAGGGTGTCACCTGGTGAATAGTGAACTACGACCAGTGTGACATGTGGACGAGTGGCCAGCCTGTGATGTGAGTGTGGTGGAGTCCCTCACTTGCTGTGGTAGAGGTCCCACAGCTATTATAAACATCCTGAAGCTCCTCAGCTGGTTTAAAGGATCTTCCCAGTTGTTGTTGGGTGTAGCGCCCCCCCCCCCGTAAGAGGTGGTAGTGTGGTGTTATGGCTAGCATGTGCGTTACAGTGATGGGAGGAGTATGGTGTGAGGCTCGCCCAGTGTAACACCCTCAAGTGTGTGTAGAGAAGCATGACCCTCTGGAGCAGCACTACACAGCAGGCACCAGACACACCTCCACGACAAGTAAGTCCGCCTACACCAGGTGTTCTCAGGTGTATACACGTACACCACATCTCCCGTAAAGTGTACAGATCATTCCTTCCTTACTGACTGTTGTACTGTACTAATTATCTAAACTGATGTACTATGTCCCCTTGAAGTGTACATACTGTATATACCATCCACTGAATATCGTTGTACTGTTTACCACTACAGGTGTACTATGTGCTACAGTAATCCACATAACTACTAACTACCCGTGGTTAGTAATTACTCAATCATATGGTAGACTATTCGTAAACAAAACTCTCTTGTATCGTTCTATTTGTCGTATTTATTTCACCATCATCACCATCATCATCACCATCATCATCATCATCATCATCATCATCATCATCATCATCATCATCATCATCATCATCATCATCATCCATAAAGCACAACACACACTCTCTTTGTTTCTCATAGCTGCATCGTAACGCCAGTACAGGCAGGAACTAGCGTGTGTTGGACCTGTACCTGTAATATTGTGGTTACAGGTACATAAGGGGTTGGGTTAATCAATTCAATCAAGATAAATAGACAGACAGACAAACACATAGACAGACACACACACAAATAAACAAACACACAGACAGACACACACACAAGCAGACAGAAGCACAGACAGACAGACACACAAACAGACAGAAGCACAGACAGACAAACATGTACCTAGGAGATAAGATTTGAGAATAAAACGTAATCAAATTTACATCAGGATATCACCTACAGACGATACCAGGATTACGACACTCAGAGAAGACGTGGGTGTCAAGCCTGGGTAGGTGGCGAGACAGGGGAGTAACCTAACCTAACCCATTGGGAACCTTGATGAGCCAATGGGACTTGAAGATTTTAACCAAGGAGGTACACACACACACACACACACACACACTCTACACCTACCTACATATCTACACCTATACCTATAATGCTTCTACACTAATCACCTACACCCACTAATTTACACCTATTCCACCCTCCTACACCCTCACCACTCCTCTATACTCACCCCTTAACACACCCACCCACCATCTGTATACCCCACCCATCCCTATACACCCATCCATCCACCTACACCCACCCATAACTACCCTCCATCCACCTACACCCACCCATAACTACCCTCCATCCACCTACACCCACCCATAACTACCCTCCACCCACCCACCGACCGACTTACACCCAGCTCCTCCCAGTTGGCTGAATCTACACTTGAGTGCCAGTTGAAAGTTTGCTAAGCAGTGGGTGAGTGACTGCGCGTGTTGACTCAGTACACACCCTGGGTAAAACCTATCTGTCTGAGGGGGTGAGAAGGGAGAGACAGGGAGAGATAAACAGAAACAGAGAGAAAGATAGAGAGATAATCAGAGACAGACAGACAGAGAGACACAAACATACAGAGAGACACAAACATTCAGAGAGACCATCAGACAGACACCATCAGACAAAGTCGTTTCAACATGAGTGATTTTTTTGAAGGTTTAATATAGTTTTAGTCTTGAATACTTTTTTATGAATTAAAATCTCTTCTACCAAAGTTTGAAATTATAATAATGTGGTAAAACTAATACATTTTTAGAAAGTTTAAAATATTCTCAAAATTTGTTGATTATTTATGTTTGTTTTTTATTTCAAAGTATTCAATATTTTCAACGTGTCTGATATAAAGTTTTTTTTTTTTTTGAAAGTATAAAATATTTTCAAAACGTCTAAAATAAATACTTTTTAATATAATTTTTAAATATCTCTACATAACTGAAGTCTTTTTTTAGTCTTGAAAGTTTAAATAATTTCAAGAAGTCTAGGTTCAAATTTCGTTTCTTCATCAATAAAAATACTTGTATTTTCTTTTATGGCAAAAGTTTTAAAACTCCCTGAAACTTTGATAAAATGAGTCGCCATCACATTAAACTTCTCGAGTAATCTTGCCTCGTCATCTTTGTTTACTAACATTAATGAACACGTGGGCAGATGTCAACAAACCGTAGCGTCTGACCTTTGACTTTTTCACCTGGTCTGTCTGTCTGTCTGTCTGTCTAATTGCTTTTCTTTTTGATTTTCTATTTTCAGTTATTTGTATTTGCTTTATTGTACAGTCTCTCTCTCTCTCTCTCTCTCTCTCTCTGATGACCTAACCTAACCCAACCCAGCCAGAGAACATTGGGGTGTCTAATCTTCAGGTGATCCAAAATAATCACACGATTATAACTATCAACTTAATTACCTATCACATTACCTAGAGATTAATCACCTTACCTATAGACCTTAATTAGCATAGTTTACCTGGCGACCGAGAGGTATAGAGTCGTGTTTACGCTTGAACTCTATTGAATTCTAGACCGTAATGCCATGTACGAGGTTAATTTGAGCCTTATCAGCGTTTTGCGTCTGTTTATATAGAGAGTCTGATTGTGTTTGAGGAAGCTTGATAGAATTTATTTATTTATTTATTTTGTTTATTTATTTGTTAATTCACCACTTAGTTTCTGCTTTAATGATGAGGATGTGAATGATGATAAAGTCGAACACCTGTCGATTAGTAACACCTGTTGATTAGTAACACCTGTTGATTAGTAACATCTGTTGATTAGTAACACCTGTCCATTAGTAACATCTGTTGATTAGTAACACCTGTTGATTAGTAACACCTGTTGTTTAGTAATACCTGTTGATTAGTAACACCTGTCGATTAATAACACCTGTCGATTAGTAACACCTGTTGATTAGTAACATCTGTCGATTAGTATCACCTGTCGATTAGTAACATCTGTCGATTAGTAACATCTGTTGATTAGTAACACTTGTCCATTAGTAACATCTGTTGATTAGTAACACCTGTCCATTAGTAACATCTGTAGATTAGTAACACTTGTTGATTAGTAACACCTGTTGATTAGTAACACCTGTCGATTAGTAACACCTGTTGATTAGTAACATCTGTCGATTAGTAACACCTGTTGATTAGTAACACCTGTCGATTAGTAACACCTGTTGATTAGTAACATCTGTCGATTAGTATCATCTGTTAATTAGTAACATCTTGTTGATTACTAACGCCTGTTGATTAGTTAATCATGTCGATTAGTAACACCTGTCGATCGGTAACACCTGTCGATTAATATCACCTGTTAATTAGTAACACCTGTCGACCAGTAACACCTGTCGACCAGTAACACTCAGAGTGGATGACTTATGGTACGAACATAACCTTTAAGATGTGGGTGGGTGGGTGGGTGTTTCGGTGGGTCGTTGGGTGGGTGGGTGGGAAGGTTGGACCCAGCGTACCCCACGACCCAGTACCCCAGTGAAATAGAGCCAAGGACACACACACGTCTCTCTCTCTCTCTCTCTCTCTCTCTCTCTCTTTGTCCTTTTACCATCCTACTGCTTTCTTCTTCCTTCCCACCTCCTCCTCCTCCTCCTACTCTCCTATGCTACCCATCCACATCCACCCTCATTACACAACATGAACTTATCCCAGCCCACCCATGACCCACTCCATCAACCCACCTTATGACCCACTCCATCAACCCACCTCACGACCCACTCCATCAACCCACCTTACGACCCACCCATCAACCCACCTCACGACCCACTCCAACCTACCCCACGACCCACTCCATCAACCCATTCCTCACGACCCACTCCATCAACCCACTCATCAACCCACCTCACGACCCACTCCATCAACCCACTCATCAACCCACCTCACGACCCACTCCATCAACCCATCAACCTGTCTTCACGACCCACTCCATCAACCCACCTTATGACCCACTCCATCAACCCACCTCACGACCCATCAACCCACCTTATGACCCACTCCATCAACCCACCTCACGACCCACTCCATCAACCCACCACGACCCACTCCATCAACTCCACCACCTCCATCTCAGCCCGCAGTTCTTGAGGAGAGAAGATAGAGAGGGAGAGAAGATAGGAGGAGAGGAGAGAAGATAGGGAAGAGAGGGAGAGAAGATAGGAAGAGAGGGAGAAGATAGGAAGCAGAGAAAGATAGGAAGAGAGGGAGAAAGATAGAGAGAGAGATAGAGAGAGGGAGAAATATATAGAGATAATGATAAAGAGGAGAGAAGATAGTAAGAGAGAGAAATATAAAATATGAGGAGAGAAGATAGGAGGAGAGGGAGAGAAGATAAGAGGAGAGGGAGAGAAAATAGGAGAGGAGAGGGAGAAGATAGAGAGGGAGAGAAGAGAGAGAGGGGAGAGAAAATAGGAGGAGAGGAGAGAAGATAAGAGGAGAGGGGAGAGAAAATAGGAGGAGAGGGAGAGAAAATAAGAGGATAAGTGGGAGAGAAATGAAAGGGAGACACAGAAGAGAAGAGAGAGACTGAAGAAGTCGAACACTGGACCTCGTTATCCTGAAGGTGAGGGAGGAGGGGGAGAGGAGCGGGGGAGTGGAGGAGGAGGGAGGGAGGGAGGGGGGAGGGAGGGAGGGAAGGAGTGTCTTACTTGTGCTGGCAGAGGGCGAAGGAAGATCCCTGGATGAGTGTGTGTCGATAATGTTAACTCTCTCTCTCTCTCCTGAAAAACAGACGTACTATCTTATAAACTATCCAATACTTTATTAAAACAACAACAAACATTTTTAAACCATCCAATACTTTATTAAAACAACAACAAACATTTTTAAACCATCCAATACTTTATTAAAACAAGAACGTGAATTTATAAACAATCTTATTCTCTTCTCTACATAAATAAACACACTTATTAAACTGTTATCCAATCATCTTAATTTTTATTCAATTTAATGAGTTTTAGTCAAGAGTTATTTTATTTTTTCTGAACCAAAAACATTATTTTATTTTTACGGGTATTAGCCCACCCCGGCACAGGTCGCTGACCCACATCAGGGCCTGGGGGGCGAAAATGTAATAATAGTAATAATAATTAGTTCATAGTAAATAAAATTTACAGTAAAAAATTAAAATAAAATAATAATAACAATAACAACA